TTATGTAACATTACTGTTGTTTACATTATATATGGAACTACATGTATATGTTTTACAGAGTAGTATGAGGGCGTATATGTGGACTTAATGAAGAGATAAAATAAAATGATTGATTGCAACGATCTAATTTTATCGAGCGTGGAGATATGAAGAACATTGTGTATGATAAACCGACAATGGTTCTATACACTTTAAAAACCTCAGCCTGTAGCACAAATTGACTGGATTATTTATATGTCATTAGCGAAACCCAGGCTACAGTGTTCTTATATCTATCCGTAACCGCACAAATATATTCCGTTGATTTATTCGGCCATGCACCGATACACACAGACGGAAAGTTGGCAACTTTGTGCTGAAACGACATGCCTTGTGATATACCCGTAACTGGGATCATCACATGCAGTCGCATATGTTCCCCATGAATCAGTTTTACGATAAATTCAATATAATGTACAGTGCAATTTCATTTGAAATCCAAATAAGATAACTGAGACTTTTAAAAGTGTTTATTTATGACATAAATACGTCATTGGTGACATTTTATTCATACCTGTATATGCTGTAATGCGATTATACATATTCGAATTATTTTGATATTCTGTCTTTCTGTTGAAATGATATTACCCATACATATTCATTTGAAAATACTCAAATTCGTTTTATTGTACAACGATTCGCACACACAGGTTTTTCTGGTCATGTCTCGCTGACGCGTTGAGTGAATTTTACGACACAGCGAATCTTTAACATCTGCTCACAGAATACCCGGATGTGATCGTTTCATTCAGTTTATATTACCTTCTAAACAACGCAGACGAGGAGCGAGTACTCATATTGCTGAAAAGTTCGCTCTAGCCAGTAGCGACGAAGCCAGTAATGAGTGCTTCCTATATTTCCGCCGGGTATACGCTGCTTCGCTGAATACAACTATGGCAAGACACTCAGTTCTCGAATCAACTGGACATTTGTACGAAGTATTCACGAGTGTGTATGTGTTTCTACATCATTGATCATCTATTAACATTGGGCTTGTGTTGAACGGAAAACACCTTTGAATTTGACCGACGGCAGAATGTCGCCGAGACACGACAACTTTCAGTACAGCTACTACAACTGCATATCAGACTCAATGTTTTACAATACGTCTAAAGATTTGTGTCACCATGCAATAAAGATATGTGGGATCGACAACTCCACTATGCTGCTCTTGGTTATCACCTTTGGATCCATTGGTTTCCTTGGAAACACTGCTTTCATCTTCGTTGTAGCCAGAGTTAAATCCATGCGTACGTTACCAAACTATTATATAATCAACCTGGCAGTTGCCGATGTTCTGTGTTTAATAAGCTTTCTATTACAACCTGTATTGTATCAATTCGCCTTCGCTAGTAGCGAAACCTTCGTGTTTCTGCGTGTCTTCATAATAGACACCGGGACTTTTACATCCATTCTTACAGTGGCAATGATCAGTACTGATCGATATATCGCTCTGTGTAGACCAATGCGAGCTAATGGAATTAAACGTAGAATACGTGTACTCACTATGATAGCGCTGACCTGGTTGGTGGGAATATTGTTAGGTCTGTGTGAGTACCTTACTGTTACTCTGTTGTCTGGTCAGATTGCAGCAACTGTCGTCATTTTAGTATTCGCCTGCGTGACAGTATTTTTTCTGGTTTTTGTTGTATTACTGTATAGCTTAATTGCGAAAGAGTTTGCTGTGAAGTGTCTTAGACTACCATCTCGAGGAATTCTCCCATCGTCAGCGCGATTAAGAGAAGAGAGACAAGTCCTTGGCATTTGTTTAATCATAGTTTTCGTTTTCTTCGTATGTATCGCTCCGAGTGTGTATATTCTACTATTGTCAGCAATTACGCTGTTCTACCCCAACGTGTCTCTCCACAGTGAATTCAATTACTGCATGATTTCTATTTCACCGGTCATGATGATTATTAACTTTGCACTAAATCCTTTTGTGTACAACCTGCCGAGCGGTAATCACCGCATCGCTTTCAGACAGGCATTTTCCGGTCAGATGGCGCAACGTTACACAGTCTGTCGAATGTCCGCTCATCGGTCACGGTCGTCAGGGAAGAATATGGAGATAAGTGGAAGCACTGCTGTCGCCGATTCCCCGCTTGAGATTCAGATGACGACCTTCAGTCTGTTGTCGCCTCTATAATAGAGGCAGGGTATATACAACCATATCGTAGATTTTGTAATACACGAAACTACTCCCAAAACTACTTATAACCATTTTCTTTTACAAGTGAGGGATTAGTGTTTTGTGAAAATGTAATGCTTTCTTGAAAACAGAACACGTTTCTTTGTTTTGATCTGTTTGTTGTTTCAAGAGTAATTCTATATACTTAAGATATATCCACAATTTGTTTACACATACTCACATGCAATATGTTGAAAGTGCAAGTGGAATAACAAGACAATACTATATCTCAAATATTTAGCACTGTCCTCATTTGAATTCATATCTATGGTCATTACTACGTATATGTAAGTAACTGAACCTTACTTGTACCGAATCCAAGGACATTCTCGCTAAATCCAACCAATAATCAAAAAACTGCTACGGGCACACGACTACCTGATGTATTCTACGGTATCACTATACTAATCCTCATGCGCATCTCATAGATTGAATTGCCGTTTCTATATCATGTTCACACATTAAATATGTATTTAGTATTTGCCAAATGTTGGTTGGCTCCGTTTATTAGTTTGTTGGCACCAAGATCAAGAAGCAAATCCCGTTAGTTCATTCAATTTTTGTTATATTTAAAAAAAATCACAATCAATTCTGACAGTAGTTTAACTATGATACATCCTATTTTGGTTCAGTGTAGCGATCAAGGGCAAGTAGCGCAAGCAAGGTTAATTTGATTCTAACCGCGGGATATGGATTCGGAGTAATGAACACAAATTGTTTTGTGGTGCAACGTAGCAACGTTTTAGTTAGATGGAAAGTAAATATGTGTTATGGCATGCTCACTAAATAATTTATACATCAGTGTCAAAGACGAACAGATCGGAATAAAAAGACAATCTTCTAAATTCTGCAAATATCCGCCCAGTTTACGACGACCAAGAAACATTATCTTCATCACTATTTCTTCGTCGCCATTCAAAGATCATACAGTGGATTTTCCCAGTGTCTCCAATACAGAAGACGTTTCTCATAAAACAATGTTATTAACCTGACATATCACTAACAGTATGTATACACTTGTAGTACATTGTAATTCAATTGCGGTATTGATTTGGTTGCGTATATTTAGACTTTATTTTATAATTTATCGTCAAAGTCAACTTTTTACACCTTCCACAAAAGATAAGAAAAAGCATATTATTTGATCACGGGCAATGAAAAAATGTGGCTACTATGTTTCGTTTACTTTCGCATATTTTCTTTATTGTCGGCTGAACATTGTTTTTTGTTATGTATTTAGTATCTTTTCGCAGCTCAGTATGTATTCAATAAGATAAAACCAAGTGCCACAAACTGATCGATGTTCTCGTAAATTGTTGATGTTTTAATCAAAGAAGCCATCTAGTTGTCTGCGAAAGAGAATCACTCGTCAGCCTTAAAGTATGTAATCAGTAGCTTTGTGGATGTCTATGGATGTTTGAAGTAACGTGAAGAAACGAATAACGCAGTAAGAGAATACCATTGCAATGGTCACTTCGTCACACTCACTTCACAGAGTGCAATCAAATCCATTATACACTATTGAAATAACACCTTGTATTATAATTCGTATTGATAACACCATAACAAACCTTAGGTTTTAACACGCGCGTATCCCATGCATGCCTATCTGTACGCAGGGGTGTGATTTGCAGTACCTTTAATCGGTAAGGCTTTTCACGCGGTGCTCAATCAACTGTCAAGTAACTACATAAAAAAAGAATTGTTTTCGATAAATTCTTCAATGCGTCGAACGTTTTATGAAGGTTGATATTTATAAATGACATACTTTCGACATGTGGTACACGTCAAATTCGTAATTTCAATGATTGATCAGCGTGGATACGCATAGATAACGTTTGATAGTTGCTAGAGTGGTATATTAAAGAAACGTTACGCTGTGATTACATCCATATTGCATATATTTCATGTCCTAATGTTGGTTTCAGATGTCTCACTTTTATTCAATTGGGATACAATAACAGCTTTGAACTTGACACTGCAGCTGGGGTTGAAAAACGACGATTACACGGTGTTTTGATTATAAAAGTTTTTTTAATTTAAGACTTACACATATTATTTCAACACTATTGTAGGATTCATCACGTAGCATGTTCTGATTTGCTAGATCTTTCCATACAACGTCGTAGTCACTAAATATTATTAACCTGAATACTAAATAACAGTGGCGTGATTTCATGTAAACGCAAGCACGGATGAACGCCGTCGTGAAATATATGCGTAATAACACGTAATCTAACTAATGTTTAAAGAACTACCAGTATAAATAATTATTTGGATCCGGGTAATGTGCAAACACTACACTTAATGACACGATGACGATGATGCGAATAAAAATGATAAAAAATGTATTCGTACGAACTGTTTGAGAACGGCATTCAGTCTAAAAGATGTAATACAGTCATCTGTTGCTTTGAACACTCTTGTACGCTTTATCTTCAAACTGACGTGTTATTATAACACATCACAATACCTGCAATCATTTGACTTTACACATATATGTATCTATACATATATATATATATATATATATATGGTACTATATATATATATATATATATATATATATATATATATATATATATATGCACACACGTCGATGTGTACGTGTCACATTATTTTCAACCGCACATTCATTTAGTGTTAATATTGTATTTTCTGTCGGCACCACACAAGGTTGTCTCGAACGTAACGACATCGTAATGTTTTTATATCAACGTTGGCATCATTGATTCACAGCAGCTGATTACTTCAAACACATTTAATCAAGTCGTAACTATGTATTTAATATATTTAATAAAAAAACAACGCGACTGTGTAGACTGTTAGTTTGTTAATAGTATTCACATTCGATGTTCATCTTCTTTGATCATAGTACACAAAGTCGCAGGACCTGCCTAATTAGTAAATGGTACTAGCGTCTTGTTTAAAATGCATATCTCCATTGGTGGGGTGATGCGTTAAGGTGTCGAATCAGTGATTGGACGTTAGATTGCGCTGGGCAATGGTGTGCGCGCAGCAACGACAATTACGAGGAATGCAATTGAGTAAAAGAGGATTGATTTAACTGTACTAGCGGAAAATCTTCAAATCGCCTTACAATGATTGTCGTGATATTGCTGAAAATATCAAGCGATATCCCCGGCAGTATTCAATCCTGTAATACAAGAACAAGACATCATAACAAAACATTTACGTTCGACTTGTTTCTCGGAAGGCATTTCAAGTAGTCGACAATTTGAACCTTTCGCGTTGGAAAAAATTATAATCATCTACAACATTGTGTATCGACAGAAAGTATATAATAGACACTGAAAACGCTTAACGATACCTAATGACATCCACGGTTTCTCTCACAGGCGTCGTTAAGATCTGCATTTGAGCCAGTAGCAATAACAACAAATGGAAACAAATTCTAAGAGCTTCGTTTCTTTGTTTACAACACACATCTCCGACAGGTGAATAATTGAAATGCGTCTCGTACCAAGTGCTTCTTTCATCGCTTGTGTCATTTAATCGATATCGGCATTCTGGTTGTTTTAACAACATCATGAACACCGTAATCCAAGAAAACCATAGTTCTTAACACACGTACTTCACTACCTTCTACGACCACGCCAAGTTCAGTAGCGTGAGTAAGAACACACGCGGAGAGTAGAGATGTTACTTTAATTGTATAGTACTTTTGTAATGGAACTCATATTGTATTTGAGGCGAAATGCAATATTGATTGCATTTTGCGGCGAAACAAATCTTTCAAATTATGACATTGTGTCGCGTCAATAAAGCATCGCGTTTGATGTTAGACAATTGGCATTGTGTTTACTGCTTATATTTCCTTTGCAGTCATTTTACTGATTAATTAGTTATTTCAAGTATGTGAGCAGAATATACAAACACATTCGTATCAGGTTATGGCGAGTCACTCGTTTTTGTACGAGAGATGGAATTAGCATTATTATATTGCCTGATTGTTATCGTCTTCTCGTCTTTTATCTTATTCAAGTTTTTCTAGTGAAAACATGAACTACACGAGAATTGAGCTAATATTGTTTCAAATGAGTGAAGCTGAATTAAAATGTCACACAACTGATAATGTTACTGTATATATATATATATGAGAGAAATTCCGTTGTATACAAATACAAAAACCTACTATCAAACATGGAACATGAAAATAAAGCTTTGTTTCATCCCATGTCACCGAGCTCAATTTTGAGGTATGGATAAATTATCCCAAAATAGAAACAAAGTGCAACACAATATTAGTACATGGCGAGTTAATGTTTGAAGAATTGCCTAGTTTGCGTTCGTCATTCGAAAGGACACCTATTAGTTTCAGCATTCTCGAATTAAATCGCTATATATTTTCGCATGAGTGTTTGTTCTCTTTCTGTTGCTGTACATATTAATCCATCATTGGCATTTCAAACCCATTAAATTTTAAACTGTTACACGACGTACCCAGCTCAGATTTTCGTAGAATATCTGATCAAGGTATTAGATTGTTTTATACATAATGTATGCCACATGCACTGACCTATTAACTAACTTAACATGGTGTATATTTTTTTTATTTTAGAAATTATACAATCACATGCAACATAGAGGTTAATAAGTAATAACTGTTGCTATGCTTTGGTCAAAACAAGAATAATACGTTTTGATTTATTACAATCAGCTGACAACATCAATCTGTTTTCAATTTTCAAACTGTCCTCTTTTCATTATTAAGGATAATAGCACTGGCAAACCTTAGTCTTAGAATAAAGATAGTTATACCGTAGGTATTGCCAAATACAAAATTACATTATATCCGAATCAAAATATAATATTTGTAAAATATCATTAAAGGGGCACCTTCCAGTTAAGCCTAATCTCACAACAAATTTACGTTCTGGATTAAAATAACAATGGATAACAAAAGATAAATTAACTTTGTAAATAACATAAACAAT